ATGCTTTCCCCCAGCTATTGGTGAGATTCAGAGCTTTCAGTTTCGAATCTTTACCCTGAACATTGGAACCTAATAGTGACATAGCGTAAAACGGAGACCTGATGGGCAGAAGCATCAGCGTCGGACCAACCATGCCTGATACCAAAGTATGCTGAGACGCACCAGTATTCAAGCTCGATTCTAGCTGTACCACCTCGTCTTCATCCCAGAAGCTCGGAGCCTCCCCGCCATCTTCCATCTTTTTCGAAATCAAGCCACCTTTGGGAAAGCCTTCATCAACACATCGTCCTAGAATCATTCGTGGTGTCACTGTGCCTCGAAGAAACAGCCAGCTGACAGAATGCAATGTCTCAAGTGCTTCTAACACCTATCACTTATCGTTATGATCATCACATACTGATAACAATAACATCGTATCGTACCGTCGTGCGCATATATACACATATATGTACACATACACATATACACAAATGTACGTATGCAGCATGCCCGGGCTTGGTTAGCAACCCTGAGTTTCACTGCAGGATTGCAGTGCTTGCTAAACTCCCATCGTGTAGGCCTGCTTCCCATATGGATTTCCCTCTGCGGCTGTTCGTACCTGCCTTTCTACTTCCACTGCAACGGTTTTGATTCGTTGTCAGGTATTGCAACGTCCAGAATCTCGACTGAAAACGGCTCGGATATCTGTCGATGCCAGGAAGGCAAGAAGCCTAAAACCCTAAAACCCTCAAATCTGAACCAACCCTCTACCTCTTAACTCATCGGAGCCGCCCTCGCCGCGCGCTGCTTTGCCGTGCCAGCTTTGCACCCTGGACGTGCAGCGCGTGAAGCGACGCGTCAGCCTCTGCACTTTTCCAGGTTGCAATACACCTCAAAACCACATATACATACCGACAAGCCTAGCGGAAGTTTTTAGACTGCTTCGTTTTCTTCAACATGTTCTGTTCCATCTATTTGTTAAAGCAAAGAGTCAAAGGAGACTCTGCGAATGCATCAATACTCGCTGCTTGGCATTACACTATGCAGCATCGAATGGCAATCCATGAGAGTGTGGATGCGCATGCGACACATGTATTGAACGATATTGAGGAACCAATGATATATGCATATGTAAATACTAATACATATATACAAATATATGTATACAGATTTATTTGTTGATTTATATACATATATACACATACACACACATATGTATACATATATATGTATTTATGTTACAGTGTCATATCGAACCTTATCAGATCATGTCATATAACACGATATATTGCCAACGATATCTTTAAAGAGGCTCGAACAGAATCTGTTACAATAAAACTACCGGACAGAAGGTTAATGTGACACAATAAAACAGAATCCTATATAGTAGAAAACGAAACAGAATGATATAGCAAATTATAGCAGCTCGTAATGTGACAAAACATAACAGAATAATATCAGATAAAATCACATAATATGATAAAACCCAATACAGTGCACTACAACATAATCACGAAACATTATGAGCCATTTTAATGATGATGTACTAAACAAGATACAGTATATACTCTACAGAATGTAAATATACATAGATAACATGCGTTCTCTAATTTGCAACTTATAGCATGCACTATGCAACACAAACCACTATGCACAACGAATGAATAAATACAAACAAACTGACTGTATTTGTTTGTATATTCATGTAATTAATTTGTTGATAAAAGCCCTCATGTCCGGCAAGCCGTTTCACCAACCCGACTCTCCAGTGGCCGGCACAGCAGAGAAGCCTTTGAAGAAGCGAGGGGAAGGACTCGAGCTGCACTGCTTTGCATCCGGTACTAGTAACTAATAGCAGAAGGCAGGGATAGCAAGATGCTCCATCTGAGACAGCTTCTGACAAACCGCCTTCTGAAGGGAAAGGATACCCCGATCACAAGGAAATCAACATTGCAGAAACATGCAGAAACACAGCGCCCCAGGACTCAAAACACTATAGCATCCCAGGCTTCGAACTACCAAGACATCGCACTTACCGAGTCCGGGGCAGCTCCACAGCTGCTTGTGGAACTCCGGGAAACTGCTTCCGCAGACCCAGCCAGCAGTCGGCATCGCATGCGTCTGCGGTGGGCGCACCTCAATAAACAGAGCAGCCCAGATTAGGGTTTAGGGTTACACTGTATAAGAGTCTATGCTCACTCAAGACGGGATGGTGGAATTGAAGTGCGTCGCTTCGAGGATTCGCATGAAGAGCACAATACCGAACGCGAAGCCGGCTGCCGGCGCGGAAGCACCGGGATGTGGAAGGTCGAGCGCATTGGCGCAGAGAGCAGCTTTCGAAAGTTACTTCATGACTTCAACTCTCAAGCCCCGTTTTACACCGACTGAAGGCAACACTCTCTGCGTGTGTCAGGATTTGAAGAGTGTGACCTTCTGGCCAAGCTGCTTTCCATGACGTACTGCCAAACCTCAGCTACGCAACAAATTGCGATTCTCCTCTAGACAGCCTAACAGATCCATCAAACGAGACAAACCTTCCATGCCCTGAAACCTGAACCTTCACTTCTGAGCTGACATTGAGGGATGTTTGCAACCCTGAGAGCTCAAATTCTTAAATGTGCTGTTCTAACAGGACCATGATGCAGCTTTGGCTCTTTTCGCAAACTGTTGGCCAGACTATCTGCGACAAACCCACATCGCGAATGAATCAAACTTCTGGAAAGCGTGAACAGTTTCTGGGAACATCCTGCTCGTTCTCACAGATGTCAGGTTCCGAACCCGCACTCGCACTTTTGGTCTTTCGAGACTGCAACCATCGGAGCACATGCAAGTTTCGACTACTGCACGTCCCAAGGAAAGCGAGAACGCCCAGCTCCTGCTGCACAGCAAACGCCGGATCCGACAATGTCTGGCCTAGTCGCTACATGCTATGATGAAGACAAGCTGACCAAGGGCTATCTGCACAACAGTGTACGCAACGAAGTGTGCATTAACTACAAACAAATAACATACATACAGACAGACGCACACATGCACACAGACACGTTCGTTTGACTTTGCGACAGGTGAATCACTAATGCCTCAGCACGCACATACTCACACACATGCATGCGCACATGCAGGCACACGTATACACATACGCACAACATACACATTAATACCACATGCATACAGACACACATACATCTTCCACCTTGGTATCTCTATCAGCACACACGCACACACAGACAGACACATGCATGCACATGCAGATGTGCAGACATGTCTGTCCGTCGGCTGTCTCTTTCTGTCTGTCTGTCCATCTGTGTGTTTGGCTGTCTGTATGCGTGTGTGAGTGTATGCTGGCATGTATGCATCTACGCATGTCCAGTTGTACGTGTGTGTGCGTGTGTATGTATGTAAGTATGTAGGAAGGGATGTATGTATGTGTGTATGTGCATGCAGGCATGCATGCATGCAGGCATGCATGTTTGCTTGTTTGTTTTGTATGAACTGTATACAAGTATATACATAATGTACATATCTGTGTATGTATCTGTGCATGTAGGTAAATGTACAGACAAAAATAGACATACACAGATGTATACAAAGAAAGGTAGGAAGATAGATAGTGAGATAGATAGGTGGGTAGGTAGGCATGCAGGGGCAGGTAGGCAGGCAGACAGACAAACAGAGAGAGAGAGAGAGAGAGCGGAAGATGAAATGTGTACAGGTATAAATATGTATACCATTATCATGTAAATCTACCTATCTACCTACAAATCTTCTACCTAGATGTTAGATAGATCGATAGGTCGAGGTAGATAGAGGTGGATATACGTACAGACCATGTGCGTCAGCATTCACAGTTGCGCTGATGCTGTCAGCAAGGTTTCGCTTGCTGTCAGCCAGGGAGTCTGACAGCAAGGTTTCGCTTGCTGTCAGCCAGGGAGTCTGCATCAAGATAGTCCCCGGAGGGACCCCAAAGTTGGGGAAGGCAGGCTAGATCTCAAGCCTTTGGCTTCTTGGGTGCTGTGAGACGACTTCCTTCTTCAGTCACGTCTGTGGCTGACCCGTTCTTGGCACGAACGTCTTGCCTCCAGACACGAGGCTCAGCACCGACAAAGTCTCCATAAAAAGATCTTCTGCGACACTGGTGCGTGGTTTTCTGTGTGGTTGACACGTTGGCCACCAGCTTGCAAAAAGAAGATCTGTTCAAGAAGACAGCTGTCAAAACCAAGACCCCAAAGAGAGACTCCTCGTAAAGAACTAGTAGTAGGAAGCAAAGAGACGGCTACCAACGACAGGACCGCAAGCCAAAAGGGTTAGTCGGAAGCCTACAGCGCCGAGAAACAAAACGACCCCGCCATTTAGCGGGCGTGGTCTGAGGGAACACGGGACTGGGCTTCTTGCCCTCTCCCGGATCCTCTAGAACATAAAGAAGATCACCTGATCTGAAACCGAGACTGACTATATCGATCTTGCTACCTTCTTTTGAGATTCGGCCCATGGAGCAAGAGGACGTCACAAGAGAATTTGACTTCCGGTTCAGTAGCTTCATGTGGGGATGGGCTCGTAATCTCAGGGGGTACATCACATGATCATCTCACCGATCATTGCATTCTTCTTGCCAGGGCTTTGCTCTCGTGAAAATACAGGCACCTGGTGTAGGGGCCCTTGCAATAAGGATCCTGCTGTTTATGCTTCATGTTGGGGTCCCTGCGTTTCTTAAAGTTCCTCTTTGGCTTCGGGGACTAATGAATAGGGCTTAGGCCGAGGGTGCAGGGATTCGGGTTGGATTCAAGGATTAGCATTCTGAATTCAATTTCTGGGCTGCTTAAGCATGCTTTGCTAGATCACTGCAGCCAATGTCGACGCCCCTTGCTGTGGGTGACTCAGTCGCCCGGAGTCACAAAACGCGATGTCTTCCTGCAGGGATGAGAACACAATTAGAGGAACCATCTAATTGGGGTCTAGCCCTACAAGGCAACGGGAGGCTCCCTGCTTTAGAAAACCAAATTCTGTATCAAGCACCAGGAACCTCAGCAAGATCGCAGCTGAACATCAGCTGCTTCCTGAAAAACAGAATCCTTCGGGAGAAGCAGGTCTGGCTTGCCCGAATCGTGCTGAAAACATGGCTCCGAGTCTATGTCCGGATCCAGCTCTCGAAGCTCACGACGGTGAGATGCGTCTGCGGAGACCGCTCTGGAATGTCGAGGCAGTTCTGCATGTAGAAAGCTGACACTGCGCAGAGTCAGGTCTTTCAAATCCTCCAAACTCTTCCCAGTCTCCTCACGAATCTCCTCCAACATGGAGTACACAGCTTTCGTGGCTAATAGACCGGCAATAGCATCGCTCTTGCTTATTTCTCCGCGGATCTTGAGGAGACCCTGCACCAGCTCGGAAATTCTTAATGTTCCACTGCCATCAGCATCGATAATCTCGAAGAGGTTCGCACGATCCGGCGGAAGGTCCAGCTCATCCATTAACTGCTGCACCCCGCGGTCTTGGATCACGAGAAGAAAGAGATCTTTGGTGATCGCAATACCTTCGTGCACATCTTCATCCGTGAAAACCGTCTTGCCCGGGCTAATCTCCAGATGGGACACTTCCGCGCTGTCGTCCTCCGCCCGCGTAAGCGGGCACCGCGTGTCGTCAGGCCACTAGTTTAAACACAGAAAGCAAGCTCAAAGCAGACATCACAGCCCCCAACTGATCTAAGTCTCTAGATGATTCTAGATGCAAAGCTGTGTGTGTGTATATATATATATACATACTTATATATGTGTATATATTACCATCCAGGCGGACTCCTCCATGTCGTGGAAGAGGCGGTAAGCAGATGCAAAACGCTTGAGGAGCTCGCGTGTGGTTCGCGCCACTCGGATGGACTCCCGTGCATATTGCTCCGCAGTCACTGCTTCGTTTTCCTTGGCCGCCTTCATCGTGATGTCGACCTGCGGTGTAATCAAAGGGCAGGGACAAGGATCAATGTCGATGCCGAACAGCATGTTTCTGAAGGACACACCGTCGGATGATGGGCAAATGCCGACTTCGGCTGAGCTGGACTGTAGGGGCCTAGACCGCCAAACGAGAAACCTTCTACAATGCTGGCTATGTTGCATAGACAGCCAGAATGACATTGAAGATGCCCATTGCAACGAGCATGTAGCTGATCACATAGGGTAGGATGAATTTGTATCCAAACAACCTTCGAGGACATGTCGCACTAGATTACCCGTCTGCTTGCTGTTCGTGGCATGGTCACATTGGGGCTTGCCAACTAGCAAATGAAAGGTCAGGGTCATGCTTCAGGGCCAGGGATCGCTGTTGGGGTGCTGGCCCCTCTGAGTCTCTTCGGTGCTTAGCCGAAGAACCGAGCCAGGAGGTGAGTAATGGGCTCTCCTCTGTCGTTCACACAGTCGCCAGTGAAGCACCTTACGCTGGACGAACAAGTACCAAGCCAGAAGCTACAAACAGGAACACCCTTCATCCGTGTTTGGATGATCCGGGCACTGCCTCTGCTTTTCCGAATCCGGTCAGGGTCCAAACGTTTCAACTGCCACAAGGCTGAAGCCAAGCTGCCGGAAGGCGGTGAACATGCCTGGGCATCGACAGTTGTAAATACGGTGAAGCTTCAACAGGTGAGCATGACGCGATGCTAGAATGGCCAGCGTACCAAAGACCTCCAGAGAAGCAGGACTCGTTTGCCAGGATACACTGCGGCAGATTATCGAAGTACTTCATCAAGTCTTCATCCTGGAGCTGACACTTGCGGGCAGGCCCATGTGCCACGAGCAGCTACACGACCTAGACTTACTGTCACAGGACCACAAAAGCAACCCGGAAGAGCTGAGCATCGACTTGGTAAACAAACGGGTTGGAGGAAGGGCACGGGAACTGAGCTCGACAACTGCTACATCTTCGGCCGGTTGTGCTTGGCATGTCAACAGGAGCACCTGTGTTCTCGAGTCGCTCCCGATTGTCATCGTAGCAAATCCACCAATGACCTTGGCTGAACACCATGTACCATGCTTACGTGATGACTTTGAACTACTCCGTTACTCCAGAATCTGGGCCAGCTGTTCGAAGTGATACACCTCTCAAAAGCAATCGCGTGAGGAAATTCCCTCGCCCAATTAGCATTGTTGCAACTTGGGTGCATAAAGGACACAGAATAGCAAGGTGAAGGCAAGCGTAAGCGTGCGGACACCTGCCAGTCTTGCGGTCCTTCCTTTCATACTTATACCCTTGCCTGATGCGACCATCATGAATGGATTCTGCTATTCTTATTTTGCTGCTGTTGCTTGCGCGCTTTCAGTCTGGAAGCAGCCTGCCCTTCGGGGTTGCTGTGGCTCAAGGCTCGAGTGTCCCCGCACCCAGACGATTGCTGAAGCTTTAAACGTTCAGGAACAGGGATCCTCGATGAGGTCCTATCAGGGTTTCTGGCGACCTGCATGATGCGCGTCTAAACCTTTCACAACACACAAGGAGCAATAGTATAGGGGCCTTAATAAATTAGACTAGCCCGTTATGCTATACTTATAGTAAGCAACCCCCAAAATAGTATAGGCAATTATCAAGGCCCCTACAGTACACGCTCCGGTCTGCAAGCGATGCCTGCAACGAGGCCCTTCACCATGAGACGCAGATCCCGCATAAACTTCAGGCGGAAGACCTGCCAGGCTCTCGGTTGGTTTTCGAATCATTAAAGTTACCATAATAGGGATCTTGAGTACATAACATGGTTACCTTATCATGGTAACCTAAGTAAAATCCCTTAACAAGAACCCACCTCTGGCTTCCACGAACCAAAGGATCAGATCACATGGGACGAAAGAGATGACCGGGATTGCTCTTAGAAGCTGTCAGCAGGCACGCTGCAGCTATTGGAGCTGCACCTGCAAGAACTCGGAGGGACATTTGGGATCTTCGCTGAGTTTCAAGTTGGTCCTCTCTGTTACTAGGATGGAACATGCGATGTCATGTCACGACGACTGCACCCTGACGGGAAGCAAGAGGCCACGGCGAAAAGAAGACATGGGCTTTTTTTGCAGTATGGCAACCAGCGAACACCGCAAAAGATGGTAAACGGCTCTTGCGGTGATGCGAACATAACCAGAAGTGATACGGATATCTACCAACTCTCGCATACGAAGCCCTATTGTATGAGTATAACGACGAGACCTGTGCCACAGGCTCGTGTTTTCCGAACTCAGAACAGAAGACACCAAGGAGATGTCAAGCACTTACAATTGCGCTTACATGTGACCCGGTGTGGGCGCAGAAGTGCCTTCACGATGCGTACCAGCCGGATTAAGCGGCAGAACCTTAGCAGAGACGTGCCGAAAATGTCGAAGTCTTCGTCGTGCACCAGCTGCACCAAGATATCCACCACCCCAGTCATAGCGAGTACAATGTCGAAATAGTTCCAAAACCAGTCTGTGCCGCACCAGAACCCATGACAACGGAGGAAGTGCATTCGCAGAGCGATCTCCAGCACGAGAATGCTCACAAATGTAATCTCCACATGGGTCCAATATTCCCAACCTTGATGGTCCGGATGTGTTTGGAATCCAATCCTCACAAACACAGCTTGGGTCTAGGAACTCGAGGTCCTGGATTCAGGCTGGTGGGAGCTGCAATGCCTTCCATAGGGACGGGATAAGTTAGGTAGTTAGGTGGGGGTTTCGGAAAATAGGGGACCCTAGTACAGCACCCTTAGTAAGATCCTCAATAGGAGGACCCAAATAAGGTACTCCATAAGGTACCCCTAATTTTCGGAAACTCCCAGGTTTCAACAGGGCGCATGATTCCATTTCCGACGATCAGCAGCGCCACCAGGGGCCTCGGCTGATCTTCTGATCGAACATCCCTACCCAGAGGCCCCAAAGTAGTTCCTTTTTGGGATTACCCTATGGGATTCTATATACGAACCCCAAAAAGGAACTACTTTGGGGCCTATGGGTAGAGCTGTGTCAGCAGCACATACTGAGGAGACTAGCTGATGAGGCGGCCTCAGTTAGGGCCTTAAGCCCTAAACCCTTAAATCCTAAACCCTAGATCCTAAACCCTACATCCTAAACCCTAAATCCTAAACTAGTCTTGGTGCCAGGTAGCTCGATGTAGACCAGTGGGTGGATCGGCTCAGGAGGTGCTGCGAGATCATTGATTCTTACCTGGGTTGTAGTTTTGGGGCTCTGAAAAGTATCCAACCCTAGTCCTCAACCCTAAACCCTAAGCCCTAAACTCTAAGCCCTGAACAGGAACTAGGAACCTCTATAGGGACCATAACGGGAAATTGAAAAGTTTCCCAAACTGCCATCTAGTTACGAAGGTCAACTCGGCCACCAAGCCTCAGCAGGAGACTAGGGACTGTAGGGTTGAGGGTTTAAGGACTTGGACTTTAAGGTTTTTAGGGTTTAGGGGTTTGGGTTAGGGACTTCTTGAGGCCCCCAGTAGCAAAGGAACAGGCTTGCAAGCAACATGCGGTACTTAACGGATCCAACTACATGCTGTAGATCCACAATGTACATCCCTGGTCAGCGGTGTAGCATGAGCACGCAACAGATTACCGGGAACAGCGAAGGGAAGAGCATGTCACTCAGCTGGATCCAACTGTTCGCTGCCCAGAAGCGGTTCGTGTCACCAGCAAGTAGAATCTCCTTCATGGCCTCCAGGACCAACCCCGAGACAGGTCATCGATCTCTCTGTTGAAAGATGCGTCTTGTGGCAACTCGACTAAAAGGAACCATCGGGCTTTTTGCTCTCGGCCGAGGCTCCTTCCACATGTATTCCCTCCGAATCAAAGTGTCGGCAAGCACTGTGGCAAGTGTACCCGTCAAGAGACTCAGGCTTTCCAAGATAGCCCTGCCTTAAACTGCTTGAGAAGACGACCCGCCCCGAAGATGCGCTTGTGCAGATCCCACTCCTCCAGAACATGTTGCGTTCAGGGCCAAACTGTCGAGAGATGTGGTCTGTTGTCGAGATACCGTGTGGCCTCGGATTGAAGTTGGGAGAAACTCGGTCATATCTTCTTGAAAAGAGGTTGGGAATGCCCAGTATGCCAGCGTCCTGCGCGAAAAAGAGCTCCATCAGCGCCTCTGCAGACATGGGCCGAGGCTGCGAGAGGTGAGATGGCAGGATGCAGGGTCAGACTGGTCGCGAACTTGGAGATTGCATGGTGGCCAGTGCTGTGCCAAGACTGATATGGGAAAACATCTAGAGACCTTTCGAACATATCAGCTGAGGCAACCGGGCCAGTGTATATCAGCTGAGGCAACTGAGCAAATAATGGTCGAGTCGCGGTGCTCCTCTTCAAAACGACACTTCCGTCATCTTCTGTGGGGCTCAACAGCAGGGTATAAACCACTCAACCAGTCTCACTCCTATAGCCTTTGAAGCCCAACAAAGACTCCAAACCCACGACTCTGTCCAGCCTGGGCCGGGACGACGTTGAGAGAGCTTCGGGCGGTGCGCTCGACGAAGATCTGCCTCGTCTTCGTCCATACACAGGCCCTCTCTTACTGCGAATCCTTCTTAGTGGAGCTGGTATGCATAACTGCATAAGTTACACTATCTTGTGATTCTTGCGGTCCTTGCTGCAGGTTATGCCATCGGAATCGTAATCGTCACTATCGTCGTCATCATCATCATCATCACCATCACTGTCACCATCATCAGCAGCATCAAGCTTTAGCCATTCTGTACATTCCATGTGTGTGTCCTCGTCGTCATGTCGAGTTGCGAATACTCTTTGCTCTTCGGCTTCTGTCGTTGTGACTCCTTAACTAAACTTAGCCGTCGGCGGCGTTTCAATTCCTGTTATTCACGCTGCTGCTTGAGACCATACTCTTCAAGGTGTGCTGCTGCCAAATGTATACACCTCTGGTATTATGCAATCACTCGGGATCTCTCAGTTCGATCATGTTGAGTACGACCTTGAGCACTGTGAATAGTACTATGGTCCTGGCTGACAATGCTTACGATGCTTACGTAGTAGAAACACCAAGCTCATCACCATCGCGTCATTACTGCTATGACATGTCATATCTTCTGCTCCCGTTGATGTCGCTGCTACTGGTGTTTTAGCCTTCGAGGAGCTCTCAACTAAGTCCCATGCCCTAAACCCTGAGCGAAACACTCTTGCGCTGAAGCCTTAACCCGAAGCACTACAAAGCAGAAACAACTTTTCAAGATCCATTTTGTGCCCGAAACTTCCCGCCCGGAAGGGGAATCTGCAAACAAAGCACATGGAGGCGCTCCGGTGCATGGGCCCAGATTCACGGATGGTTGGCCACTCCCATATCTCGGTCGGGGATTGCTTTCGATGATTTTTCACTTTGGGGTGTGGGGATTTAGATGTGTGGTTCTGGATGAAATGTTTTATTATGTGGATTGTGTCGGGAATTTCCTTGCCGGTCGTGTCCGAGTTGTGGGTCTGAGCCTCTTGGTTGTCGGGTTTAAGTTAGGGCAGTTGGGACTTTCAGAACCCGCTACAATGGGGCTTTAAAGTATCCGGGCATGGGAGGTGACAGCCTCTGTGTGCGATTCAGCCTGAGGCAAGGGTTTCCACGTTTGTGGCTGTTTGCGGTTCGGAGATAGAGCTACAAGCTGTACCTGTGAGAAATAGATAACTGTAGATAATATGTACACATACATACGTACATGCATACATACGTAAGTACATATACATACCTAAACACATACATACATCAAGACATATACACATACATATATGTATATATACACATACATACATACATACATACATACACACATACATACATACATAAATACGTCACCTTCATGATCATTACCATGATTCATCACATTATTCCTTAATGATCATGATTCATTATCGTAGTACGGATCCCCAGCACACAAGAGTGATCAGAATCCCAGGCAAGCCTCAACACTGAAACACAAAACCTAAAGCACGTCTTGTGAGTAACAGTCTCTCGGCCACACAGCCAGGGCACTGGCTCGCCAAATTTTTGCAGGTCCTGCTCAGCTCGATCTAGGGGTTTAGGGGCTTACAAGAGCGCTATGAGGGTTTCGCACGCATTTTCCAAGGTTTCGCAAAGGTTCTAGATTCTGACAAACAATCCCGCTAACGCCGCAGAAATCCGGGGCAGTGGAGTCCCATGCAGTGCATTTCGACAAGCTTGCGAAGGCACAACAAGGCTCCTGCTGCAAACTGAACAGCGATGTCGCCGCCGTCCTCACGCATCACCACGTGCAACGCTGACACCCAAACCACCCCAAAATCCAAAACCCTTCAGCCCAACTGGCCCCGAGTCGCTTAAGGCACAACCTGGTCTAGAGCTAGCAACAACAACTGCGATGAGACCGACGAAGGCGACAGTACCACGAGCGCCTGGACTTAAATACACCTTGTCCATTTGGCATGTCATGCGGAGCAGTCCTCGACGTCCGCCGGCTGTTTCGCGGAGCATTTGGGTCCTTCAACATGATTCCTCTTACAAAGCCATGAGCTGACAGCTCTGCACCCTGCTCTCCTGTGCGAACTGAAGTCCGATGAAGTCGGCGAGTAAGTTCACCAGCTCATCCATCTCCTCCACGCTGTAACCTCGGGAAACGCTGTTGATGTCCAGGAAATGACGACTGACAACTTCAGAAGCTATACTAGCAGCTCTCATGTTCGATTCAAGGCTCGTGTAAGACCCAAAGCCACGACTGAGTCGTGAAGCGACCTTCCCGACACCAGCCTGGGCTGCAAAAAGGCTCTGCAGAAGCACCCAGTGTGCGTCATCCCTCCTGTGTTTCTCTTCCTCGCTCTGTAGGGTCCACAACACAGTTCAACTGAGGGGCAGGTCTGAAAAGCTCCGAGCCAGAAAGAAAGAAGAATAAAAGCCATCATAAATTCAATAGTAACGACTATCTTGATGCTAGCCGTTAGTCATAATTATGGGCAAGATCTATTGTCATGGCAGCAATCACCCTAATCCTAATCACAGTAATATACTGCTGATATTAACAATCATAAAAGCATAACAAAAACACAATGCATGAATGTTAACAATAATAATCGTCATCATTGTAGAAATAATCATAATCATAGCAATCTTGCTATTATTACTATCATTAATGACTACTATTATTACTACAAGTACTAGGGCGAATACGATTGTTACTATTCTCTGCCATGCTGCTGCCTCGCAGAGATGACGCCCAGGCGCACCCGCAGGCGATGGCGAATGGCTTGCGCCTCTTCGTCCTTGGCTCGGACTCAAGTTTCTAGACACAAATGTTCTAGATGTACATTGTATTTACATGTCCAGCGACAAGAACTGGAATACCTTTCGTCCAACGTTTGCAAGTCCCGCGATCAACAAGCCCCTCCTTCAGGCCGTGGCACGCTGAGCCCAAGAAGCCCAGCACCAAGGAATGGTACCGTGAACTTCGGGGACCTTACATAAATGGTGCGAGCAAGGCATGCCGCTCACGCATGCCATGGCTTAACAGCAGCACTCTCGACGGCAAGGTGCTGTGGTGGCGTATCCTCGACGTGCAGCGGGGACATCGGGGACTCGGTCTCAATTGTCAGCCTCAGACTGTGCTGCATCAGGACTAATAAGCTACGTAGTGCCTGTAGTCGGCCCGGCGGCGTCTGCGGTGACCCAGCAGGCGCAGTAGAGTCCGAAGCAGGGGCTGCTGCGGACGGCACGCCGCGCGGCCCGGAAACCCGGCTGCTGACCGTGGACGAAATGGGGCCGACGGCCAGGGACTCCTGGGGCAGGGGCGCTGCTGCTCACTGGTGTTGAGGTGTACAGGGACCGCAGCTCGGATGCCGTCAAGTTTCCGGAAAGAGGTGCTCCTTCTTGGAAGCTCTTGCTTCTTGAAGGTGCTTTTCAAGCTCGGCGAGCTTTAGCTGCACGTCCAGAGGAGACGCATTGCTTTGGTCCGGGTAGGCCTCCAGGAGTTGCTTGCGGAAAGCACGCCACGAGGCGTCCAGGAACTTTTCGAAGCCATCTTTGTCCATGGTGCCCATGAAGGCTGCGGCTAGGGTGAAGCAGAAACTCCAGAGTCTGTCTTATTGTTTTTCCCTATGTCATGCATGCTTGGCGAAAGTTGGTGAAGTGTGGCAAGTTGCCGAAACCCCACATGCACCGACCAATCTACCTTCTGCTCCTGTACTGTGACACGCCCATGATCAAACAATCCAGATGATCCTTGTGCGGCGATGTCCGGCCTACGTACTTGATCTGGTCCAGGCGTCATTCCATTTGCAGTGTCAATGGTGTGGCTGTTAACCGTTTGGCCCACAAACGTCTAGCCACGTGCAGGCTGCAAGCTGGCCTCTGCAAGGAAAGCTAGGTAAGTCTCCGTCGCTCCTTTACCGGGATGGGGGCTGGTGAGGCGAGGTGTGACGTGAAACTCCTCGGAACAAAGGGGTGCCCGCGCACCATGACAAGGCTGCTGGGGCTGCTGGAGGAGGATTTTGACCTTCCAATGAAAATACGTTCGCATGCCCCTAAACCCTAGGTGCACCTCCACAGCAAGTCCCTGACAAGATCGCAGAGACGACCATGGGCCGACATCGCGCAGGCACTCGCCGACACCTCGATCTGGCCAGGCCTCTTTGAGGCTGAGACTGATCGGCGCATCTGCGAGTGCGACCTTTCCGTATCCGCGTGCCTGAGATGCTACTTCTGTACATTCTTAAACCGGACAACTTCCATCGTCCACGCATTAGGGCCCGATCGGGCCGATGTTCATGATTGGGTATCATGGCAGAGCTGGGATCTGCATTTTGAAGCTTGCAACATCATGAACCGTGACCGTGACATCGCGGTAGTTGTCTCGCGATGTGTTATGCCTGAACTGGACATCCTTTTGGATGGTAACAGGCTGCACTATTCTACGGAAACCTCCAAAGGTGGAGGTTGTACTTCGACGTCCGCGAGAACAGCCTCTGGACGCAGAGGAAGAGGCCTGAATCGGTCTGGCAGCTGTGTGTTGCTGCGTCTTGGTCGCAAAACCATGTGCTGCTGCCCGAAGTAGATGCACATGTTACAGCGCGGCTGGCCGCATCCCTTCGCCTTCTATCCTTCTGTATACCCGACATGACTGGAACAAGCGGGAAAGGCCGCGGCAGTGCCAGAGTGAGTGCGAACTCATCCTGCAGGGCTTTTAAAGACAGGTGACTCTCATAAGACAAGATCAGAACTTGATAGACCCGACATGTGTTGACAGCATGCATCACCTTACCCAGTCGGAAACCCAGGGCCTCACAAGAAGCATTGCAAGCATGTCCTTGACGACCTCTTTGGACACGTGCGCCCTCGCCGAAGCAGAAAGGTCCTGCGTCAGTCAGAGATCGAACATCTTCCGGCTTCCGCTCGTCGTTTCTTTGAACCTACAAAGTTCGAACGGCGGGCCGAGTGCCGCCTGGCTCGTGATGTGTCTCGGCAGAAACTCTTGCTCTGGGTGCCGAGCTTCGACTCAGCGACCGGGTCTCGGGTTCAGCATTATATATATACATACACATATTATATGTGTATATATATATAACATGGAACTTCAGGGATTCCGACTACCGTAGTGCCAGTCAACACGCTCACAGTGTCATTCTCCATACAGGTCAGGAACCAGTGACAAAGCCGGCCCTCTCTCTGACATCTAGTTTGTGTCCGGCTCGGCCACGAGGTCCCTGGGCTTTTCGCGCGACCTGCATTTGCCTCATAGCACGGCTTCAGTTAGCGGGGCACGGGGAGAAAGGCCACGATGGTAGGAACACAACAAGCTGTCACCTGATGCTTGAGAATAATGTCTTCAAGTGGCTCTCGAACCGCATCGCTTGCGGTCGTTCGGCAAGGGCCAATACCTGCCTTGAGCGAAGCAGGGCGCGCGAATGAGTAGTAGATACATATCTAATTTTTTCAACTCTCCAATTTCGAAGATCATTTCATCCTGGGTTGAAGCTGGGAATGACTAAAGTTCCACAGCCCCTCAGCCAAGCAAACCGCCCCATGTAGCTATTTCTTCACACACACACACACACACGGACACACCCTCTCACTTCACTTGGTTTCACTTCACTTCATTTCACACACACACACACACACACACACACACACACACGCACACTCCCTCTCTCTCTCTCTCTCGCTAGCTCGCTCGCTGCTGGGGTTGAGTCTGCGAGCAGACCCGGGCCTAGGCCCCCCCCTTTTTCTCTCTCTTTCTTTCGCCAGGGTTATGATGTAGAGGTTTCCCTCTCTCTCTCTCTCTCTCTCTCTCTCTCTCCTGGGCATAGGGGTCGGTCAAGACCCCCGGGCATCAAGCCCACCCGCATATATGTTATGCAGGTATCGGGGGGTGAAGAACGAGTGTAATCCCCCCATTCGCTAAAGCTAGATTCAATACAGTGGCAGATTAGGTGGGATGTACACTCTCACAATCAAGGATCCACCAGCACTGAAGGCACTTAAGTAACTCAACACAAATTAGGAATAAAGAACGAGTGCCTTCCCCGGACGCTGGAGGAGTTCGCAATTTTTGCGAGATCAGTGCATACTTGTTGAATTCTTGCCATCAAGATTTGCAACAGACAATCTAGAGCACAAACGTGATTACAAGGCATCACTTTCTGGCAAGGATTGAAAGATGCGGGTTTGTCAACACAAGTTTGTAACATAGGTGTCATAGAACAGGCTACAATAGTTAAACACATGTTCCCCCGCGAGAGGTTGCAACTTGCACCATTGAGGATCTGCATGGATAGACGCCATGTACACTCTCACAAGTAAGAATCCACCAGCATGGAAGGCACTTAAGCAAACCAACACGAGATGTAATGATTTATGTCTGCCTTCCCCCGGGCGCTGGAGGAGTTCGCAATGTTTGCGAAATCAGTGCATACTTGTAGGATACTTGCCTTTCAGATTGCAACAGAAACAAAAGAACTAGAGTACCATACACTATTATACAACATCACTTTCTGGCAAGTATTTGAAAGGGCACGAGAACAGCAGTTTTGTGGCAAGATTTGGCCTGAGTTTGAGGTCTTGCATCTTTGACCAGTATGGAGTGCGAAACAACACCTCTCTCTCTCTCTCTCTCTCTCTCTCTCTCTCTTTTTTTTTCGCCAGGGTTATGGTGTAGAGGTAATCTCTCTCTCTCTTTCTGTCTCTCTCGCTCTTTCTCCATCGCGCTGACCTTTCTTGAGCCACTGTCCGCGAGGACGATTTTTTGTCTGCGTCGGTATACTCGAACTAGAAGACTTGATAGTGTATAGTGCCGTCATGGGCACTAAGTTACAACATCCAACTGAGTGTTCTAAAAGATACTCAACACATGGATTGGAGAAGTTGCACTGAAATTTCTATGTAATCAAAGAGGCCTGCAAGCTGCGGCCTGGGAAAGCAGATGTAAAATTGCAACGCCTGGCAGCTGATTCGCCTTTTCAATTTGGACTTTCAACAGGGCTCGTACGTGCATGTTCACTGATGCGCATGCAGAGGTGTTGGTGAATTCCTGTCGCTGAAGGTCTACATGTCTCCTTCTGTCGCAGATCGGCCTTTGCGTCTTGTTTAGCCTGGCCATACTGGGTATCTCCCTGCAGAAGCAAAGCTTCATGCACGATCTTGGTTGCATCTGGAGGTGTTCCTTCCCGAACTTGCCTGCATGTCCATACTTGCCAAGTTGCCTTTCCAAGTCTCGCTTCAAGGAGTCCAAATGGCTGGAGCTCTCCTCTGACTACGATCGTGATCCCCATTGCGTTCCTGAACCGTGATCCCAAACTCCTGTCAACACGCCGGATCCAAAGCCCCCTAAACTCTAAAACCCAGCAAAGCACGTCCCCCAAAGCCGGCTGAACTAGGCTCACTCTGGCAATGCTCGCTGACTCCACCAACCCTCCACCCTTTAAACCTAAACACTCTTTGCCCTTTGGTTTCGGAACCCTGAACCCTAAAGGCTTTCGGGTTCAGCGGATCCCTAAACCCTAAACCCCTCGATCTTGCAGAAATGATGCCGGCGTCCAGAGCCGACATGCAGACGCTCTTTATTGTACCAGTAGTAGGGTTTAGTTTAGGGTTTAGGGCTCCTGAATCAGAACTTGGCGAGGTACCCTCAGCTGCAATGACGACAAGTCCCTGAATTTGCCCATCCTCCTTCATCTCACTCACCATGCTTTGTACAGCTTTGATGGCGAGCAGGGCGGCGACGGTGTCGCTTTTGTTGATTTCCTCAGGGGTGATACGATTATGTGGCGCGAATGCTCTGCGGATGCCGCCGCACTTGCCCTGAACGTTCGCAGAATTCCCCGAAGCCGGGGCACTAAAACCGCAAGCGGCCCCACGTTGTAGGGTGTAGGCGCTTCACAGATAGAAAGCTTTTTGAAACAGGGCATTATAGAGTCTAGAATTAACAGCACTACAGTAAACCATCCCATGCCCCAAACCCCATGCAGAATGGCCAAACACCTCCTTATGCCCAAGAAGCTCCGCGGATCTTCAAGAGACCCTGCACGAGTTCGGTTAGCTTCAGCGTGCCGCTGCCGTCCTCGGTCAACCCTGCCTAGACCCTCCATCTACCCTCTATTAGACCCTAAATGCCCCTTATTTGGGACCATATACCCCTATTTGAAAATACAGGGGAAACATCGTGCTACGGGGATGCCCAGCATCTGCATCAATGACCTCGAAGAGGTTGGCCCGATCCGGCGGTAAGTCTAGATCGTCCATCAAGCTCTGCACCTGAGATGCTGACAGCAGTCGCACCGTCAGAAGCTGGCTGGAAAAAGCAGAGCATGCGCCCAGCAACCATCCACCAACCAAGAATTACGTGCGCTAGCAAACCTCACGTGAATGAGTCTATACACTTCTGAGGCCAAGGACGCTGTAGTCTTGTATAACCAACATGAAGAGCTCCTTGCTGATTTCCATGGTCTCATTGATTTCATCGTCTGTGAAGAACGACGTGTGATTGATTTCGAGCCGCGGCCGACTTGCTGCCGTCGCCCTGTCGTCTTCTTGGAACCTCATTTCTCAGGATCTAGGCGAACTGTTCAATATCAACAGGGACTGACTCTGTTCCTGCAAGAAAGGATAAAGGACTGAGGAGCTGATGGTGAGCCGAAGCAAACTTCTTCAGCAGTTCCCGCGTCACGCGAGCGATCCGGATAGACTCACGGGAGTGCTGTTCTGCCGTCACAGCCTCGTTCTCTTTGGCAGCTCTCATTGTGATATCCACGTATACCTTGCAGGACTCAAGAAGAAGCCGCTTGAAATGGGGAGAATCTAATGAGGCTGGATGGCACGTCCCTGGGTTAAGTCCCAACTCGCCCACAGGAGCATCAATGTGTTGCAATGCAAGAAGCAGATGGGTGCAGGCTGAGCAGCTTCAGATCATTTCAGGCAAGGCGCAGCTAAGATAACGTTGAAAATTCCCATCGTCACCAGCATGTAGCATGCGACGTAGGGTAGAACAAACGCCAATCCAAATTTTTCAGCCAGAAGGGCTTGAATAGGTCTTCCGGCGTCACTGATGCATTCACCCGTGAAGCATCGAAAAGCCGTGAACATTGACTCCGGTATGTTGGCAAAATAGCGATGAAGGCCGTCCTCTCCGTCAATCGGATTCGCCCCGAGAGTGATCGTTGCAAAACCAGAGATAACGTAAAGTACCGCAAATAGCAAGGCGAAGGCAAGAGCCAAAGTTCGAATGCCAGCAAGCAAACCCTTCACCATTAAACGTAGATCTTTCATGAACTTTACTCGAAAGAGCTTCACAATCCGGACCAGTCTGATCAATCGGCAAAATCTGAGTAGCGATGCGCCAGCAATGTCAGTTTGCCCGTCAGATGCAATTTGCAGGGAAATGTCAGCAACTCCAGTCGCAGCCAGAAATTGGTCAAAGTAGTTCCAGTATCGCTCAGGGCCACACCAGTAAGCAGCGCACTTTAACAGATGTATCCGCAAAAAGATCTCCAGCCAAATGAACAGAGCAAACACCTCAGGGCTGACAACAAGGGGGAACCCGCTCGCTAAATACCGGCCGCATTGAACAAACCGACCTTCCCAGAGCTGCAGATCAGCTTCCACTTCTATTCCCCGCCCTAAAACAAAAAAGGAGTTGAAGAACCAGGCAAGTGGCGAGCTCGAGGTAGAAGAACACGTCATCGTAATCCTGAAACGACGGGTCAGTTTGGAATCCGATCATGATGCCGTTCAGCACCTCAGTTCCGACCACAGAGCTCAAAATAGCTACCTCTAGCCGACCAGTCCAGCGATGAAAACAACCCTGAATTGGCTATAAACCCTCAGAAAGCTCTAGAGCTGCTCAGCTTGTCGTTGTGGTCTAGAGGATTCTTGTGTTGGTGCTGCGGGGTTAGGGTTGAGGATTGGGGTTTAGGGTTCTACTAGCAGCTATGGTAGGCTCCCTTGTCATCAACCGCTTCTGATAGCAGGCAAGGTGACGATGAGAACCGCCACGAACGGCTCTAAGTACCTTGGATCAAAGATGCTGGCAGCTGCTTAGCTGAATCAGTAGGCCGCTAGACCTCTGCGAAGACATTCACGCAGAAATTCTACCTTTTGCAGTACCGCAAGCCGCGACAGAAAGCACAAAATCCTGGTAACTTACCATCTGTTCTGGGTTACATGACACCAAGGCTCATTAGAGGATGCATAGGCTCTGGTGGTGCTGCCAAGTCATTGATCCTCACAAAGGTCAATTCTGCCACCAGACCTGATGCGAACGTCTTTGTGAGCAGTGTTGCCTTCTCCGTAAACATAAACGGTTAGCTAGTAAGGCTACGAACCCTGCTCAAAGCTGTACTTGACTCGTTTGAGCTTTACCATCAGCATAATATAGCATTGTCAGGATCACCTTCGCTTGGTAATAGCAGCAATGCTGAAACTGCCACTGCTGCGGATAACAAGGATGGTTGCCAAATGTTGCCAAGAACGTGGTCGTTGATGTTGTGGTGAAGCCCTGGCGATTCCGCCTTGATGGTGATGATGTTGAAGATTTTAATGACAAACATAAGATAGCGAAAACATGATGATGATGGTTATGATGATGACGATGATGATGATGATGATGTAGCTGCTGGCAGACGTGGTGGTGCCTGCGCAGTGGCGACGGCAGTGGCGGCGGTGCTGTTGGTGCTGGTGTTGGTAGTGCTGCTGCTGCTGCTGCTGCTGCTGCTGCTGCTGCTAATTACGAGGGTCAGGAATCCCAGGAATAGGACAATGTTGCGAATCCGAGCGGGTATGATGATCGGGACACACCCAAGCAAAGGCAGAAGCATGATGAAGCTACACTTGCGGCTATGCTGAAGCTTGCGATGACAATGATGGCGACGACGAAGATAGTATTAATTGATGAATGAATGAAGGGATGCAGGGAGCAAGGGATGGTGGCATGAAAGAACGAGCGAAGGGTTGCTTTCATGCGGCCCACCCTGCGGCTGAAAGCTCCGGCAGCAAATTCCCCGGCCAAGCAGCGGTTCGTATCCCCGGCCAGCAAGATCTCTTTCACAGCCCGAAATTGGTTCAGAAGTCTGGCCCCAAATATCCTGCACCACTGCAGCTTGATGAATGTGGATTGCCGGGTGCCGCACGGCATGCCCTCTCTTGCTGCATGGTCAAAGCCTTCTGTACCTACATGCCTAGCGAAAAGTGGGCTTAGCCAGGCCAAGGCAGGCTTGGACATGTCTTCAGTTTAAGATCTTGCCGATCTCCCCAGCTCCAACGTCCTCTTGTGAATCTCACCTTCATGGGCCAAGAAGATTTCTGTCAGCGCCTGCAAAATCCATGTAGGGTAAAAGTCGAGGGTTGTATACAGCAGTTCTAAGTGCACTGTGCGAGGTCTAGAAGCAGATGCGGGAACAAGCGAAGTAGGAACCGCTGTATAGCTCCTGCGAAACCCTGTGGGAGTTTCCCAAATTTGGGGTGCCAGATTTTGGGGTCCTTATAATAAGGATCCCACTATTTAGGGTGCTATGTTGGGGTCCCCTATTTTCGGAAACTCCCCTGTTGCAAGGAGCAATTATGAAGGCCGGGCTGGCCAGCTGCAGCCTGAAGTGGGACCACGTTGAGCTCGCAGTTTTCGTTTGTCTCCGAAAAGTTTATCGACCTGCCAGACAAAAAAAGCAAGCCAGACTACACTGAAACCCAAAACATCATGCCAACAGCTGCGTCGTTGCGGGATGAGACGGTGTCGGGTGTCAGTGTCGCGGTAAGCACTTCAAGAAGCTGAAGCTTCGAACCGATGCATTTCGTTAGGATGCCAGCCCAAATGGAGTGTATGATCGTCTGCCATGCATCATGTTGCATACGAGAGCTGCGATCGATGTTGGCCCTTGACTCAGTCCCGTCACATGTCTCGAAGGAGCACAAGCGAAACTGGTAAGACAACAGACGAACACCAATGAACCAAGTTCCTTTCCCGAGTTGGAAGGAAGTACCACTGCAGTCGAAACTCCAAGTGAATACAACATAAGAGCACAAGCCTTGGTAAAGTCGTGTAGGACCCAAGTTTGCCAAGCGTCGCCATGGGCCGTGACGAATTTGCATTGCTGGCAGTAGCCTTGTCTGGCCACTGTGCAGGCCACTCCTGACGGGGAGGATCAGGCGAGGCTTCCCATCCAGGAAGGGGCGTTTCAGTGTGGGGCTTCCCGTGAAAATCATAGTATCATGATGAGCAGAGCGAGCAGCAACATTCCTACATCACTGTGCTGACTGCGCCGCCGCTTTCTTCATGCCACAGCAATAGTAGCATATGGCAGCAGAACCCAGACAACTATGTCAACATGCAGCCGTGTAGCTGTCCACAATACTCTCAGATCCTATGTGAAAACAATAGCAGTGCTGAGTGCTAGGCCAGCACTGAGGTACTAAACCAGTTCGATTGTGAACCCAACGGTGCTCCCACACAGGCTGTTGATCGCGCGTGGGCAAGCGCCGCCCTTCACCACTGGAAGAGGCGCCAAAGCCGAAAAGGGTCCTCGGAGATAATTCCAGAAACGCAGGCCAAACTCAGGATCGTATGTAAACACACTGCCATCTGTTCAATTACTGCTTATCTGCATGACCTGTTGATATAAACTTGCGCAAACCTTACGATTGCTGTTCTGGTCCATTTAAATGCTGTGCCTCACAGTTTATTGTAGGGGCCTTAATAATTTGAATAGGGTTTTGGGGTATATTATACTATAACTATCATAAGGAACCGCCAAATAGTATTGGTAATTATTGAAGCCTCACAGACTAAGACTCCGCTCCGAGCCGCTGTCGGTTGCTCTTGCGCGGGGAGGTCGGGCGAGTACCGTGCGATGCCTCCACGGTGCTTCAGGGTCGATCCCAAAGCCTTCAGCCGGAAACCCTATCTATCTTTCTCTCTATCTATCTATCCATCTATCTATATATACATATATATATATATATATACTGACTACACGACGGCATCGATGAGGGAGAGGCTGCTTAAATCGTATGGTGTCTTGGCCTCGGGATCTTCCGGGAAGCGCAGGTTGATGAAGGTTCCCATGGCATTCACGAGGTCATTCATGTCGTCCTCTGTGTATCCTTTGACGGGAGTTCCAGCTGGGTGCTTGGGTTTGATTTTGGCTAGTTGAAAGCAGGACTATGGAATTCGCAAATGCGTCGAGGACTGCAGAGGATGCTGCGTCTAGGCGGGCTAACATGAGCTTGCGCATAGATGGAACGAACGGGTGAACGGATTGATGCATGGACGTCTTGATTCAGGAAAGAAACCCGGAAGCCGCCCGGTACTTCTTGCTTCCTGTCTGCGTGTCTGGGTCTATCCACCGCCAGCCAAAATGGGTCCATGAAGGCAAGACATAAACGAGGCACTGCAAGACGCACTACTGGTTTTGCACGACAGTCGGCTACGGAAGTCTAAACGAGATGCACAAAATCAAGTTTACAGTTTACCGGTTGATCCTAAATCCGACTAAACCATATATCCGAAATTGGGCAGAGCAGCGCGTCAGCCCCAAGCAGGAGACAGCGTCCAGCAGGTCTTTTCCAGAGACAAGCTTGTGCTTGGCCTGGTGCATGCTAAACTGGAGCTTCTGTCCGTTGACTGGCTGGCGAAGGACATGCAATGGGGACTCTTCTGGTGACACCATGTCATGTGCGCTTGCTAACTAAGTAACTAGATTTTGGCAAGGGGCCGTGCAGCCCAAGCGCAATCGCAGCCTCAGCGTGGCGTGTTATATCTTTCAGTATTTAAAAGTACATTGTTGCAAAGCACGTGCAAACTCGATAAGTCACGGCTGCGCCTAAAGAAAAGACAAAGTGCTCCGAGCTCCAAGTCCACGACAAAACCACGAACCATACCAAGAAAGTCTCGAAGATGATCATCACCAACGTCCAAAATCCCATCACCATGCGATCCGAGAATCCTTTGCCGGATCTGTTGAGCATCTTGTGCTGGAAGATGCTTCAGGTCAGAATTCCTTAAGTCTCCGTGGCAAGTTCTGCTGTCTTAAGCCCCAGCCACCGAGGCTCTGCATACGTAGATTTCCGCAACTAGTCTCAGCCTCTCGAGGGCATCTGGAACTGAGGAAAGTCTACTGGACGACTGTCCTTGCCCTTGTCGTAGCTACAGCAGCCAGCCGCAGTATCAGCCGTGCAAACTCTGTTGTACGGTCTGGTAAGCATCACTATTGCTACTGTGTGCAATAGCTCTGACACGGGCTGCGAGATACTGCTCGCCACAGCTGCAGCTGCTGCCATTATCGAGAAAACTACAGCTATTGCTCTTCAGGAACCGGAGTATGACCTGTCCGAGCAGCAACAGCTTGGTGACGTCTCCATGCCTGTCCTGGCGTGTCCAAACCACAGCATTTCATGCACCCAAGAATCTCACAACTGAGAGCCGGAAAACCAAAACTTCTAATGAACAAGCTCCGAAATCATGCACAGCGGTAATTATCAGGTCTGTGTTTAAACGTGGATTGAGTTGGGTCCTAATGAGTCCTACACTATAATGATTAGTCCTAATGGCTTACAAAACACCGGGTCCTCGCTGACTCCGCTTCCCGACGAGACCGCTCTCGGCATGGTTTGCGCGACCCCGCTTGCATGTGGGCTCGGCAAAGGGCCTTCGGATTACGGAGCAGCGGGACAGGTTGGGAAGGACATAGCTTAAGCTCTGCTGCACAAGTTCTCAATAAGCTTGAAGCGTCTTGACTTGAGGCGGACTTCCTGGCACCTTCTAACCTCCAAGGTCCAGAACACAGCTCTCCAGAGGACTCTGACAAGGTGCTTAAGGAGTCTTTCTCCTCATCATCCTCTTCGTTCAGCACCAACGATGAGACGCCAGATTGCCCATCCTGCGGCAAAAACGACTTGATGGCTCGGCAGAACCTACCCTGCCAGGCTGTGAAACGACTGTTACGCACATATCCCAACTCTGCGTTCAAGTCAGACTGAGGAAGAAATGGTTGGACTCTGACGGGAGGCAGACTTGGCTGAAGCATGTGCCATGTGCCTAAAGCCCCCCGAAGAGCTTGACGATTTGATTGATGGGCTGCAACGGGTCCTCGGAGCTTCCTAGGTCAAGCGGTGCAACCGCTGGTTTTGCCTCGTGCTGCGTCCTCGGCAGCTACAGCGCAATCGAACTTGAGACCTCTACAGCACATATGTGGACAGACCTGCAATACAAACGCAGGGGCATACTTTTATGTGTGCACAAATTTCGATACAAGCCTGCATGCAAGTACACATACACATTTAGGTGTACCTTTACATATACATATACTGTATGTATATATATATATATATATACAGAAAGCGTCGCACTGCAGGCCCGAGTTTTGGAGCTTTCCCTTTCTCATATTGTAAGCTTGGATTGTGCAAGAGTGTTGCATTTATTTGTTTACAGGAAAAATTACTGAATAAAGAAAAATGTTGTCTGATTGAAAGCTCCTGTGGGAATAACGGGCCTGGATAGTGTCTGCAACATTAGATAGCCTAAACCAAAGAGCCAAAAGGCCTGGAGTCCGTGGCCCTGGCCCTGGCCTTGCAGCTGGGGGGGGGGGGGGCAAAAAAAAAAAAAAAAAAAAAAAAAAAAAAAAAAAAAATTTTTTTTTTATTTTTTTTTTTTTTTTTGCCCCCCCCCCCCTCCCCAGTCCAGCCCAGGGACCTCAAAACCTCAAAGTGCAGCCCTTCTGAGGCTAGAGCCAGGCCTACGGACCAAGCCAGCGAATTTCAGTAATTATACAAATCTGTAAAGCCTTCAGGCCTTAGGCCAAGAAACAAGATCATAAATCCACCTAGACTCAGGACCGAGGAGAAACCTCATAAAGATCTTCATCTCTATCATCCACCCCTATGAGACATATCAAGATTGCAACATAAGGTTATAGGACATTTTAACAGATATCACCTCTTGCATAATCCATATGTGGAGCTTGTCCATGCATTCCTGGGTATGTTTGTAGATACATGTGTCTATGTGATCATTCAACTTGACAAATCGCATGACATCGCATATGTGTTTGTATACATATATATGTATAAACAGAGGAACCATGCATTTAACAGTCGTGAATGTGTGCGTATATATATATAGTTACACTTAGCATGTATGTCTAAGTATGTTTTTCCTATGAATATCATACAACAATGATTAGAACCAGGTCGTTGAAAACTACATTGTTGATGCCATTGTCGGTTCATGTCTAAATACATATGTGTTATCATGTCAGATGTACAGTTTATATATAATATATACATGTATCGATCGGTCGAAAACATGTACGATAGTGACAGATGTGCAAGTTGATAGGGATATCTCAACCATCGATTTGGTTTATATATATATATATACACACACGCGAATTTGTTGCGGCCTTAGGGTTTAGAAAGTTGAAGGCTTATGCAACCCCATCACAATGTTGTGCTTTTGGGTGAAACACTCGGTTTTATCATATTTTTTACTGGGTGATTGAAAATTGCACTATCAGACATGATGCATGCATTCCCCAAAAGATGCATAAGCCCTGATACGAGATGATAGATCACAATCCCAATCGTTCGTTCAGATAACCACGGTTGAAACTGCGGAGCGGATAGGCGGGACCCCCCCCCCCCAATCCTATCAGGGATTGCCTTATGCTTTCGAAACCACAGCCTTAGCAGGATATGAATAAGAGCAACGGACAGGTGGCCAAATCTTCATCGTTATGACTAAAGATGATGGACCCAAATTGCGCAGACACAGACAAGATGACAGCAATCAATGAAATTTTTGACTCGGAAGACTGGCAAAAGTTCAAAAAGGGCTAGAATGGAGGAGTGGTTCGCAGTGGTTCGAGAAACGAAACTTTCCAAATACAAGTGGACATAGTGGAAGGCTGTCCAAACGGCTAATAATGATTAGATATGATGCAGTTTATGTAAAAATGTTTAACAGATATGTATAAATACATATAGCTCTTAAATTAAGATATGGGAGACAGATGATGCGTCTCAAACACTAACATCACGATTGGGTTCCAGCAATCCACCATATTGGACAAGTTGGGTGGCAAGCCCAAAAAAAATTCAGGGAGGTGATGGAATTCTGTTCATCATCCCGAAGAAGGGTAGCAAGTTTGAATGCATGATTTATTCTGATCAGGATACATGGGTGGCATGTCCAATATGTTCATCCTTGGCGGCAGACTGCGGGTAAAAATCCATAGTCAACCCCACTAGGTCAGAAATACTTTAAACTCCAACAAAAGATGATATGTGGAAATTCAGCAACTTAACACAAACATGGTGGAGAGCCAAGACTAACATCTAATTGAGGCATTTCTGTCCCAACTAACAAGGCATAACTGATGTTACACTAGAACCCTGAAAGATACAGTGAATGCCAAGATCCAGAAATAGGTCATAACATCTGACATGTTCCTCAAGCATACCTACTGGGTCTAAAGAAAAATGGAAGGGGTGGCAAACCCGAATATTTCGAATAGGTAACTTAACAGCACAAAATCAAATGTCTGTTGCATAACTGTGTTGGTCAGTTACCATTCAGCATGTTTGTAAACTTGCAGGAGGTTTTGCCATTGTGTTCGATTTTGCTACAGATGAGCCAAAAGTCTTGAGAAGCATGAAGAATGTACTGAAACTCGCTTATTTCGACTGAAAAACACGGGCCTGCATTCCGACGCACTCTCTCTATATATATATATATATATATATGCACACCTCTCTCTCTCTATATATATATACATATTTATATATATATATATACATATATATATATATATATATACATATAGATATAGATATAGATAATAGATACCCATCCACATACACACATACACGCATACACGTACATGCATGCATGTCTACATACATACATACCTACACGCATACATACATACAGACAGACAGACAGAAAGATACAAATGTTCTCAAAACTGAGGGGGTCCAACCCTGAAAGGGCCCTCGGAACCAACTGGTCCTGGCGATCTAGATCCAAAGCTCCGGAGTCAGCGCAGGACTACAATAACAAAGCTTACTATATGGGCGATTATAAGGTCCCTATACCGTTACTGCTAGACTCCCGGGGTTCATGTGTTCTGGTGCGAGCCTCAGAACATATTCGGGGACTCCTCGGTATTGGCTGATTAGCTGCGGGTTGTACTTTATTTATTGTGCGGCGTGCTTGGACCGCGTAAATGTAGTATTTACCAGCACAGGCGGGGGATCCAGGCCATTTGATGTCGGAGTCGACAAAAGGCGTGATGCCTTGTGAAAGTCAATGCAAACTTGACTTCTTTACAACCTGGAGCCTACTTCACTGTGGAACCCCCCCTGGTTAGTCTGTTTCCGGAAGAGCTCCCCAGCTTCTGACCCAAGACGGTACCGCGAGACGAACATGTGGAGAGGTGCCTTCGCAATCGCAGGGGCAAACCAGGACACCCGAACAGTTGATGACACCCCGCAACCTGTCTTCTGTTTTCAGCTAAGAGTCTTTTGAAGGTCGCGAAGCGGCTTCAACTGTGGCAGCGCACCAGGAACAGATATGCCAATGTGGGAGAGACTTATTCCCGACACTTCTCTGACACGAATGAAAGCTTTTCCCTGGACAAAGTTTCCGAAAGGTTGAAACGAGTACCTTCAAGTCCGGACCGAATCTTTCTTGTTGCCGCAGCCACCCCGCCCCGTCCCTCCGAGCTTCATTGGACTTGACAGGGGTTGGGATCGGTTTGGGTTGGAAGCTCGTGCATGGGCCACGGCGAGCAGCAGGATCATCCCCAGACAAGGCAAATGAAGCTCCAACGCAGTCAAAGAAACATGCTCCCGGCTATGGCTCTGCCTACTCTGCTGCCCATCGTCACCATCACCATCATCAGTATCATGATTATCACTATCATCGTCATGTGATTAGTCTGCTTCAGGGTTGCAGTTCATGATATATACACACGCGCACACACACACATGTGTGTGTGTGTGTGTGTGATTGTGTGTGTGTGTGTGTTTGTGTCTGTGCGTGCGCGCACAGTTGTCTGCGTACACATATACACACTAATATACCTACTCACACAAGTACCCACAGGCCCCAAAGTAGTTCCTTTTTGGGATTACCTTCTAGAATTCTAAATATGAACCCCGGGAAGGAACTACTTTGGGGCCTTTGGGTAACCATCATAATCTCCATCGTCTCCAGCTGCTCGCCATTTGCACCCTCTCCGTTGCCTTCTTTGTGGTCGCTCGGTGTGAATCTCAAGGGTCTTAACGTATAGTCCTCACTCAAGGCTTCTTTCCTCACGGCACGCTGCATCATCGTTTCGGTTGTCTGTCTTCGTGCTCGATTTCCTTGGGCTGTCGTCGGTGTTGTTGGCTGCGTAGGATTAACTGATAGTCCTGACAGCACGCCGGCACCAACGAGAATACTGCTGCTATCTGCACCCTGGGCTTTTCTTCGTGGTGTCTTGGGAAACCCAAGAAGAAAGATGGATGTTTCTCTAGACGTCCGCTGTCGCCGTAATTAGACCCGAATGCTCTGCAAAGGTGTGCTTGATCCTCAATCCTACAGTAAGAACACAACATGGCTCACAAGGCAAACCCAACACGAAGATGATGTAAGACCTCGGAAACTCGGAAGGCAACTTCGCAACCTCCCGGCATAATTAACCCAATCTCCAAGCGCCTTCGGCGAGAGCCCTGGCGAAGTATCCGACGCGAGAAGCAAGCTGCGCGCCGGCCTCATGCACGATCTAAGGATTAACCTAAAAGCCTCTGCGACGGACAGGTCTCGTGAGAAGCATCACAAGGGCGACAGATTTGGGCACTGGTGGCCGCTGCTTCCAAGCTGCACTGCTTCTCTCCCCTGGTGGGCTGCCAACAGCTGTTGTCGAAAGGTGATCCACGAGGAATCAATCAGTTCGGCAAACTCGTCAGAGGGCAGCGCCGCCATGGGCAAGCGCTGTCAGAGGCTACAATCGACGCATGATGCCTGCCTTGATGTGCAAAGCTGCAGCTGATACAAGTCGAGCCTTGCATAGTTAGCCAGCATCCTTACGACTCCCTGCTCCACCCGGCATCTTTCGTATTACCCCGAATTTGTTGATGGCACATCTCAGCACAGATGCTGACAAACTCAGACTCTCACAAAGACAACCTCTTAACGTACACTGGTGCTGGCTACCGAACTCCTCAAGGAAGGTGCAGCCCGTGCCCTATGTGAAGCCTCACTTGCGTTTGCCAAGCAACAGAACCAAGATGAAGATCTTTCACCTAGGCGACATAGTAGTGCACTGTGGATGGCACATTCAGCTGTCTGATGGAAGCGGTCCTGTCCATGCAGCTACGCAGCCGCATGTGCCAGATGTGCCAGTATACTCCATTCGGCAACCAATCAGCCAACCCCCCTCCGGCACAGCTGTTGACATCGCATGAGGATGACCATGCCGAACGAAAGAGCTGTTCTGGTCCACGTCCACCGTTTGAAGTCCATTAGCGGAACACACTACTATATCTAAGATCTATTCGGGAACTTGACGGCGCTTTCTCTTGATCAGTGCTCGGCAAAGGGCTCAAAGCTCCCGGATCAAGGCCTGTAGACGAATGTTCTTTTGCCCGGCCTTGTACATGCACGTGCATTCATACCAAGACCGTGTGTTGGGCTGTCTGTTAGGTTGCGCTTGTTTTTAAGAGGAGCAGTCTACTTGTTTATCCAACTATTTACCTTTGGTTAGTAGGGAATGGAGGAACGGGGTACCATTATAGCTAGAGCTATAACTACAATTACTACCATTCTTCCATTCACTACTAACCAAAGGTAAGACTATACTACTTTGTTCACTCTCTTTCCTTCGCCTGGCTGAGGGCGTGAACCCGGGCCGGGAGCACCCCTCCGGTCTCCCTCCCGCAGCTGGAGGTAGTCACTTAGCTTTGCGGTTGTGAAAATGTTCAACCTTACTTTGACAGATTGGCATGATATTGAACAGATGATAATTTTTATTCTTCCATTATATAATATAGTATATAGTATATTGAATATTACAGGGCCCGAGTCGCTCCCACAGCGGGAGAAGCTCGTAGAGCCCCAGGACCCTGTAGATGCCCTTCGGGGCGGGGTTCGCCATGTGGTGCAGCCAGCTACCCAGCAACTTGCGGAGTTTGACGTTTGGCCATGCATTCAACCTATAGAGGGCAGCCGACAACGCAGCAACCCGCGGAGTTTGACGTTGGGCTATGCGTTCAACCGGAGCCTGGAGAGCAGCCAGCTACCCAGAAACCTGCGGAGTTTGACGTTTGGCCATGCATTCAACCGGAGCCTAGAGGGCAGCGGACAACCCAGCAACCTGCGGGGTTTGACGATGGGCTATGCGTTCAACCGGAGCCTGGAGAGCAGCCAGATACCCAGAAACCTGCGGAGTTTGACGTTTGGCCATGCATTCAACCGGAGCCTAGAGGGCAGCCGACAACGCAGCAACCTGCGGAGTTTGACGTTGGGCTATGCGTTCAACCGGAGCCTGGAGAGCAGCCAGCTACCCAGAAACCTGCGGAGTTTGACGTTTGGCCATGCATTCAACCGGAGCCTAGAGGGCAGCGGACAACCCAGCAACCTGCGGAGTTTGACGATGGGCTATGCGTTCAACCGGAGCCTGGAGAGCAGCCAGATACCCAGAAATCTGCGGAGTTTGACGTTTGGCTATGCGTTCAACCGGAGCCTGGAGAGCAGCCAGCTACCCAGAAACCTGCGGAGTTTGACGTTTGGCCATGCATTCAACCGGAGCCTAGAGGGCAGCGGACAACCCAGCAACCTGCGGAGTTTGACGATGGGCTATGCGTTCAACCGGAGCCTGGAGAGCAGCCAGATACCCAGAAATCTGCGGAGTTTGACGTTTGGCTATGCGTTCAACCGGAGCCTGGAGAGCAGCCAGCTACCCAGAAACCTGCGGAGTTTGACGTTTGGCCATGCATTCAACCGGAGCCTAGAGGGCAGCGGACAACCCAGCAACCTGCGGAGTTTGAAGTTTGGCTATGCGTTCAACCGGAGCCTCGAGGGCAGCCGACTACCCAGCAACTGACGTTTGGCTATGCGTTCAACCGGAGCCTGGAGAGCAGCCAACTACCCAGCAATTTTCTGAGTAGGTGAATGATGAGCTTGCTATTTGAGTGTGAAGGTCTTGCAGCCTTCATGCTGTTGTTGAGTTTGATGTCTCGATATCACCTCGATGAAGGTGTTCTGACGTCTTGGGTATGTTAACTGTGTAGGGATGGCCTCAGCCGATACCCCTGAGGAAGATCCTGCACGTTTGAAGTCCGAATCCGATTTCCAAACTTAGTTCGGACGGTAGTTTGACTGGTGCTTTGATAGCCGACAACGGAATACAAAGCATCCTTAGTAGCCTCTGTGACTGGGGAAAATCTCTTGCTAGTTGAAGTGTTCCTTCTCATGACAGCCTGGGTGGCCACCAATTTCGGCAACTCTCTGATGGTTGCCATGTGCCTCAGTTTGATTTTGTTGTAGGGGTGGGACGGCTTTTCCCGCCTGCCGGTTACATCCCACCCTTGTCTGGTGAGCGCATACTATGTCCATAGATTTCTGCGCCACCTCCAACGGGCTTTGTGCCTTCGCGGCCCTCGACTGGCTTGCCGCACAATGCGTGTGGAATGCCGGGTCGTCGTGTTCGCTTTTGAATTCAATGCCAGAATTTTGGGATGCGTCTGTCGACTCTGCTATCCGAAGCAATGCAAAAAAAAATGAATATTAGAGTATATATATATATATATACTATATAGTAGATTATCTTTCGGTTCAAGGACCCCATGTGTTTCTGAGCCGAGTCGAAAGCGCTGGCCCCAGGGCTCCTCGACAGGCCGAGGGCCCGGCACCATGCTCCCGAAAAGCGCTTTGGAGTGACCAAAGGTCCTTAAATGTTTAGGGTTTAGGGTTTTTTTTTTTAGGGGTTTAGGGGTTAGGGGTTTAAGGGTTAAGGGTTTAGGGGTTTAGGGGTTTAGGGGTTTAGGGGTTAGGGGTTTAGGGTTTAGGGTTTAGGGGTTTAGGGTTTAGGATTTGGGGTATAGTATTATAGGGTTTCGGGTACGAGGCAGCAGATGTTGCACAACGGTTGGAACTCAAGTCAGACGAACGAAAGTACTTGAAATGAGAGCGAGGATGAGTACCATGACACCGCGCACTCCGGCTTTGAAGGCTTTGCACGTTGCAGCAAACCATGTCGATGGACACGACTGGCTAGAGACTAATGCAGCAGACTCTGCCTATTCTGCAATCGAGGTGCAAAAGCCGGCAACGGATGCAGGATGCGCGGCTGCGGCATTGTGGACGGCTTTCAAACTTACTGATCTACTTCAGCAGGTCTGAAAGCGCTTGGGTCGCTCAAGGGGTTCGGGCACGGACTGCAACGTACTCAGCAAAGCTACTAGCTGCAGCTACAGCTACAGTATGCTACAGTAACCGCTCCGTGGGCTGGGCCAAGGAGCCACAGAGCAGTCCACACGGAACACTTCAATTTCCACACTGCCTATGTACATACTCTTGTACTTAGTGGGGGACCCTTCGGGTGGTCAGCACAGACCTGAATAACTTAGTACGAGATGTATGCGAGAACAGCTAGGTCCTCGTACCTTCTGCTGCAAGCCAATGCTGAGACCAGCAAGGATGCCCTGAAGCACGATGCTCACGGTGTTGAGTGAACCGAAGATCTTACACGCCGGGCCGGCAATGCGAGAACATCTGGATCACCAGCAACAGCTGTCGCAGTTTGACAGCTAGTAGGCCAGACTTTCGGATGATCGAGTCGCTTTGCCGCTTCGCATCATTCAACAAGCTTCTTTGGCTTGAAGGTGTAACCGGCGGGCATCAGGACAGCGGATGAAACACCTCCACCTGCAGGCATGCAGAACATGCGCTGGCTCGATAGCTATCATGCAAGTTCTAGAGTCGCAAAGACGGAAGGACGACCACGGCAATCCCAGAGTCTGACCAAGGCAAACGTTGCCAAGTGGCTGTGCAAAGTACCGTGACAGCGATGCCGAAGACTATGCAGAAATAGTCGCCCAAGGCCTGCTGCACTGAGGCCCAACTCAGACACGCTGCGCAGGAATTCCAGAGCCAGAGATGGATGACTTTGCACAACCGGACACTGGGATTTCTGTACAATGCTGGCTCCCGGTCCTCCAGACGGTTCCCTTCATTGCTGGCCTGGGTATGGGGAAGGAGAGCCGCGTGTTTGACAACCACCCGATACTATCCGCCTACGGCTTCGCCTGCTGGCCGAAACAACCAGGATCCCCGATGATGCCCCAGCTCTCTGGGGATTCGGATTGACACCACTCCCACAGCCGCGCGCAACAAACCCATTCACCGCAACGAAAGCGCAGCTACAGCCACATCATTCTGCATGAGAATATGCTAAAGGCTTGTCGAGGCAGGCAGCAACAAGGCGAAGGTGTATGGCAGCCGGATAGATCAGCGCCAGCGGCACGCAAGCCACCTTGCTGCCAGCGAGCTCTGTCACGAGACCCTACCACAATTATGGCAGGAAGCTTACTATCGCCAGCGAAGCCTGTTTTCAGTACTATACTTCAGCACACTGACGGGCTCATCATGACGTGCGGCAGGTGTTTTCTAGCCCCGCAGCAGGCACGAAGTGTATACATAAGAGTCTGGCAGCTCCGACCAACGACAGAAAGTCGTCCAAGTGTCGTCCACCTCGGTAGCTCAGCAGTCTTCGAACGCAAGGATCAACCGATGCGACCTCCGAAAGATTCCATCTCCGCTTAAACCGCCTATCGCCTCCGTGCCAGTGTCTCGGGCATTTCCGAAAATTAGGGGTACCCTATTTGGGGATCCTTTTAACAAGAATCCTACTAATTATTTCGGGTACTATATGAGGTCCCCGAATTTCGGAAACTCCCACTTGCAGGTCAAAGGGGCCATAACGA